ACCAAAAAAATTAGTCGCGGCGGTCGAAAAACTAGTCGCGGCATGGTTTAAAAAAAGTTGCGGTGGTCAAAAAACTAGTCGCGGTGTTCAAAAAAGTAGTCGCAACGATCGGCAAATTAGTCGCGGCGGTCGAAAAACTAGTCGCGGCATGGTTTAAAAAATAGTTGCGGTGGTCGAAAAACTAGTCGCGGTGGTCAAAAAATTGGTCGCGACGGTCGAAAATATAGTCGCGGCCTCGTCGAAAAAATAATTGCGGTGGTCGATAAAGGAGTCACGGTGTTCATAAAATTAGTCGCGGTGGTCAAAAAATTAGTCGCGGCGGTCAAACAATAAGTCTCGGTGTACAAAAAATAAGTCGCGTAGATCAAAAAGTTAGTCGCGAAGGTCGAAAGTTTAGTCACGAAGAAAGAAAAACCAGTCGCGGCATGGTCGAAAAATTATTCGCGGCATGGTCCAAAAAATAGTTGCGGCGGCCAAAAAATTAATCACTTGTCAAAAAAGTAGTCGCAACGATCAAAAATTAATCGCAGCGGTCAAATAATTAGTCGCGGCATAGTCAAAAATTTGGTCGCGGTGGTCAAAAAATTGGTCGCGACGGTCGAAAAATTAATCGCGGCCTTGTCGAAAAATTAGTTGCGGTGGTCGAAAAATGAATCACCTTGTTCAAAAATTAGTCACGCTGGTCGAAAAATTAGTCGCGGCATTGTCAAAAAACTAGTCGCGGCATTGTCGAAAAAATAATTGCGGTGGTCGATAAAGGAGTCACGGTGTTCATAAAATTAGTCGCGGTGGTCAAAAAATTAGTCGCGGCGGTCAAACAATAAGTCTCGGTGTACAAAAAATAAGTCGCGTAGATCAAAAAGTTAGTCGCGAAGGTCGAAAGTTTAGTCACGAAGAAAGAAAAACCAGTCGCGGCATGGTCGAAAAATTATTCGCGGCATGGTCCAAAAAATAGTTGCGGCGGCCAAAAAATTAATCACTTGTCAAAAAAGTAGTCGCAACGATCAAAAATTAATCGCAGCGGTCAAATAATTAGTCGCGGCATAGTCAAAAATTTGGTCGCGGTGGTCAAAAAATTTTGTTGCGATGGTAGAAAAAAAGTCGCGTAGGCCGAAAAAGTCGCGACATGGTCAAAAACTTAATCGCGCTAGTCACAAATTTAGTCGCGGCGAGGTCAAACAGTTTGTCACAGTGGTCAAAAAATTAATCGCGGCGATCAAAAAATTAGTCACGGTGGTCGAAAACTACTCGCTGTGGCCTAAAAAATTGGTCGAGGCGGTCAAAAATCAAGTCGCGGCATGATCAAAAATTTGGACGCGGTGTCAAAAAAATAGTTGCGATGGTAGAAACAATAGTCGCGTTGGTCAAAAAATTTGCGGCATGGTCAAAAAATTAGTGGCGCTAGTCACAAAATTAAACGCGGCAAGGTCAAAAAACTTGTCGTGTCGGTCGAAAAATTAGCTGCGACGGTTGAAAAATTAATCACATGGTCAAAAAAATTGGTCGCGTATGTCAAAAAATTAGTCGCGGTGGTCAAAAATTAGTCGCAGTGGTCGAAAATTTGTTCGCGGAGAAAGAAAAACCAGTCGCCGCATGGTCGAAAAAAAAACTAGTCGCGACGTGGTCTAAAAACTAGTTGCGGCGGCCAAAAAACTAGTCGCGGTGGGCAAAAAGTTAGTTGCGGCATTGTCGAAAAAAAAAATGCGGCGGTTGAAAAATTAATCACATGGTCAAAAAAATTGGTCGCGTATGTCATAAAATTAGTCGCGTAGGTTGGAAAGTTAATCCCGGTGGTCGAACATTTAGTCGCGGAGAAAAAAAAACCAGTCGCGGCATGGTCGAAAAACTAATCGAGACATGGTCTAAAAAACAGTTGCGGCGGCCAAAAAACTAGTCGTGGGTGTCAAAAAATTATTCGCGACGGTTGAAAAAAGAATTGCGGCGGCCAATAAACAAGTCGCGGTGGTCAAAAAATTAGTCGCGGCATTGTCAAAAAATTCGTTGCGACGGTTGAAAAAGTTGGCTGATCAAAAAATTAATCGCAGCGGATTAAATAATTAGTCGCGGCATAGTCAAAAATTTGCTCGCGGTGGTCAAAAAATTTGTTGCGATGGTAGAAAAAAGTCGCGTTGGCCAAAAAAGTCGCGACATGGTCAAAAATTTAGTCGCGCTAGTCAAAAATTTAGTCGCGGTGAGTTCAAAAAATTTGTCACGGCGGTCGAAAAACTAATCGCGGCGATCAAAAAATTAGTCGTCGTGGTCGAAAAACTAGTCGCGGTGGCCAAAAAAAAATTAGTCGCGGCGGTCAAAAAATAAGTCGCGGCATGGTCAAAAATTTGGTCGCGGTGTCAAAAAAAATAGTTGCGATGGTAGAAAAATAGTCGCGTTGGTCGAAAAATTTGCGGCATGGTCAAAAAATAAGTCGCGTTAGTTACAAATTTAAAGGCGACGAGGTCAAAAAACTTGTCGCGGCTGTCAAAAATTGGTTGCGCCTATTAAAAAAATAATCACGTGGTCAAAAAAGTAGTCGCGTAGGTCAATAATTAGTCACGATGGTAAAAAAATTAGTCGCGGCGGTCAAAAAACTAATCGCTGTGGTCAAAAACGTAGTCGCAACAATCAGAAATTTAATCGCAGCGGTCGAATATTTAGTCGCGGCATAGTCAAATATTTAATCGCGGTGATTAAAAAATTAGTCGCGGTGGTCGAAAAACTAGTCGCGGTGGCCCAAAAAGTTAGTCGCGGCGGTCAAAAAATTAGTCGCGGCTTGGCCAAAAATTTGGTCGCGTTGGTCAAAAAAATAGTTGCGATGGAAGAAAAAAAAGTCGCGTTGGACCAAAAAGTCGCGGCATGGTCAACAAATTAGTCGCGCTAGTCACAAATATAAACGCGGCGAGTTCAAAAAACTTGTCGCGGCGGTCGAAAAATTAATCGCGGCGATCAAAAAATCAGTCGCGGTGCTCATAAAAAAAATCGCTGTATGGTCAAAAAATTAGTTGTGGCGGTCGAAAAATTAGTCGCGGTGGTCGAACAATTGGTCGCGCCATGGTCAAAAAATTAGTCGCGGCGGTCAAAAAATCAGTCGATCAGGTCAAAATTTGGTCGCGGTGGTCAAAAAAAAGTCGCAATGTTCGAGAAATTAATCCCGGTGGTCAAAAAAATAATCGCGGCATGATCACAAAAAAATTGCGACGGTCAAAAATTTAGTCGCCCTATGGTCGAAAAAAAATAGTCGCGGTGGACAAAAAATTATTTGAGGTGGTAAAAAAATCAGTCGCAACGCCCAAAAATTTCATTGCGGTGGTCGAAAAATTAGTCGCAATGGTCGAAAAGTTAGTCGCAATGGTCGAAAAATTGATCGCGGTGGTCAAAAAAAATAGTCGCGGTATGGTCGAAAAATTCGTCGTGGAGGTCAAAAAAAATAGTCACGGCGGCGGTCGAAAAATTAGTCGCAGTAGGGTCAAAAAATTAGTCACGATTGTCGAAAAAAAAGTTGCGGTGATCGAAAAATTTGTCACGGCATCTTCAAAAAATTGGTCGCGGTGGTCAAAAAAATAGTCGTGGTGGTCAAAAATTAGTCGCGGCATGGTCGAAAAATTAGTCGCTTTGGTCAAACCATTAGTCGCGCTAGTCAAAAATTTAGCCCAGGCCAGGTCAAAAAAATGTGCGCGGTGGTCAAAAACTATCAAAGTATGGTCAAAACAATTGTCGCGGAGGTCAGAAAATTAGTCACGGCAGTCAAAAATTGACCTGGGCATGGTCAGAAAACTGGTCGCAGTGGTCGACAAATTAATTGCGGCATGGCCAAACGAGAGTCGCGACCGGTGAGATTGAAGAAAATTTAACCGCGATCGGCGCGGCCGAAAAAATGTTCACAGCAATCGAGGCGGCCGAAGAAAAGTTAACATCAAGACTCAAGACTTCATTAAACTCTTTGAAACAGTTTGATGCAGTTAGAATAATCGAGTATCCGAAAAAAATGAGCAGAAAAAAACTGTTAAAATAAAACTCGACAATGATTGACCGAGGAGTGTATGTATGTGTTTATGAAAGTTTTCATGTATGTATGTTTGTATGTATGTATGTAGGGATGCATGTATGTGTGTATGTATGTATGAATGTATGTATGTATGAATGTATGTATGTATGAATGTATGTATGTATGTTTGTTTTATGAATGTTCGTTTGTATGTGCGTAAGTTTTTGACAGGCGCGACTAATTTTTTGACCGGGGCAATTAATTTTCCGACCATGCCCCGACTAACTTTTCGACCACTGCGACTAATTTGTCGACCGCCGCGACTAGTTTTTTGACCACCGCGACTAATTTTTTTTATAGAAGCGACTAATTTTTTTTACCACCGCAATCAATTTTTTTACCATGCCAGGACTAATTTTTCGACCACCGCGGTTAGTTTTTCGACCGTCGCGACCAAACTTTTGACCACGCCATGACTAATTGTTTGACCACCGCGACTAACATTTTGACCGCTATAACTAATTTTTGGACCGCCGCGGCTAATTTTTTGACCACCGTGACTAATTTTTCGACAAAAGCGACTATTTTTTTTGACCGCCGCGACTTATTTTTGACCACCGCGATGTGTTTTTCGATCGCCGCGACTAATTTTTCGACCATCGCGAACGAGATACGGTAGGTATTTGCAGAGTTTGTCCGCGACTTAAAACCCTGTCCATTCTATGGATTTTCGGTCGCGGAATTAACTTTTCCGCGACCGACAAAGTCGAATTATTAGTCGCGGAACTCGTCCCGGGTTATGTGGTCTGAATTTTACATCTGGATGGAATAAAATTGATTATTTTTGTCTCCGAAATAGATTGTAATCGATCAAAACTGATAACCACTCGGTGCGAAGTGGTTTATTGGCGCTAGTTCAGGTTCAAAATTAAAGAGTTTTTTCAATAATTCATCAATTTTTTCAATAATTCTGTGATTAAAAAGTTAATTAGGTAATAATAATATTATTTTATCAATTTATTTATAATGCTCGTCGTATAATCATTTGAATAAATAGCGCCAAAACGACAAAGCCGACAAAAAGACCAATTATGACTCCCTGTCTTTTACAGTACGGGTTATTCGTACATCCCGAGGATCTCTGACATGTGGGCTGGGGAGGGGGTAGAGGCGGTGGTGAGAAGTTTGGGACTGGCATACCCCCGTTCGTTGCCTGAGGGTAGTTGGCATGTGGAGGATAATTCGATTGAAATCCTAAATGTGAAGGTGGAGCTCCTTTGCCAATATTTGATGAAGCATAACCGGGTGCCTGAAGTGACGTTTCATGGGTCGTTTGGTTATCAAAAGCCGGTTGGTAAATACTCGGATCTGAAAAATACGATGGCGGAGGGCTTGAGTAACCCGCACTCAAATCATTCGAGCCCATATCGAACCCACTGAATCCGCCGCCACCAGATCCAAAATCATGTCCTCCGCCTCCTCCGCCACCCGATCCAAAATCACCGCCAAAGCCACCTCCGCCGCCGCCAAAGCCACCTCCGCCGCCGCCATCACAATCGCCCATTTCGCGAATTTATGATTTAAACTGAAATGACGCGAGATTCGAATGAATGCTAAATATTCAAATATCTTTAAATTTGAGCACAAGCTAATTGTTTTTGATAAGAGTATATTTTTTGAACATTCAGCTATGCCAAGTTGGTTAGATCAGAAACGCAGCACGCTAAATAATATTTAAAAAAAAACTGTTAAATGGTCAAAAAATGCTTGAATGAGTTTATATGCTTTTGTATATTGATATGGTATATATTATAAGATTGCTTAAAAATTGAAGCGCGCATATCGCATAAAAACTGTTAATATTTGTCACATATTGTACAGCGATTAGCAATATCAAACCATTTTTACTAAAAAGCATACGAGAGCACACTTGACGAGACTGTTTGTATCAATGCGATGGCGTGAACAGTCTGAAAACCATTTTGTTTTAATCTCAACTTCATAGATAACAATGACTATCCCATCTCAACTCCAAAGATGAATTTTCAACATCAGCACAACTTGAGCAATTTGATATTTACAAATGATTCAGAGTTTTTTTGCATAGCTAAACCTGCGTTGTTTCATAGTTATTTCAGTACGGATTCCGTAGAAAATCAGAACTAAAACTTGAGAAACTTTACTAAGAGTATGAGTTAGTAAACCCTATAGTTTGTACGGATCTAAAAATTTATTGCCGCAGTGGTAGCATATATGTGAACTGAGCTGATGGATGAGGGCTCGGGCCACGTTAGACCCTTGTTTTTCTCATTTATGTTGCTTATTTATCACTGGTCCAGCTCATCTAATAGGGTTTCCCGGGTTGACCAAAATGTGCCACCATAGGTCGCAACATGCATGGTTCCATGGAAACCATGAAAAAGTGACGACATAAGTTTATGTTAAAATAACACATTTTCCATGCATGACGCGACCTATGGATCACAATTTTTTTATAGGGGACTTCAAACTAGACTATTTTGATAATTTTATCAGGGCTGTTACGAAGTGATATGTAACCATGAAGCATCTTCTATGGTGAGCAACGCGAGTCCCGTGCCGATGTCCGCGACTGATTTCGCAAAAAAATTTAAAGTTTCTCCTCACTTTTATTGGTCTTAACAAAAAAAATTCGACCTGATTGGAATTGTTTTTGGAGTTAAGAATTTCGAAAAAACATTACTAAACGTTCAACTGCTGAAATTTAGGCGCAACTAAAACAAGCATGTTTGCGACCAAAAAACTCTATCAAAAAACCTTAAAACCTTACAAGCATTATAAAATCACTTTTGCATACGACTTGATTTATTTTCTCTTGCTTAACAAAAAATGCGCTGTTCAATAGGTTCAAATTTTGCTTCAAATAAAATTTTCAGCATCTCAATTGCTATATTGCGATCATTTTGTTCTTGTTCCAACTTCCGAAGAAAGTGAGAAAAATGTATGCTCAGGCTGTTTTTTTTTATTCAGAGGAATTTTACCAAACTTTTAGCCCTAAGGGGATCGATCTCTTGATCTGAATGTTTCAGGCCGAGTGTTCACACCACTATTGTATCCTGCGATGCGATACAAAAAACCGACCTATCAGAATCAGGAAAACTGGCGATCTAACAGATTTATAGACATACCCTTCAGATTTATAGAAATACATTCTACCTTTGCGCTTTCAACCCTAAGAGAAAGTAAATTTAAAGGGCTTATCAAATAAGACTAATTGAAAGCTGCTAGAATAAGTTAATTTTTTTAAACTTTTAGCGATGATTTTCTATGGATTCAATAGTGAAATAGCTCTGAGAAATCGCAGGTTTATCTATGCAACAAACTCTGAAATATACATGAATCAGCGCGAGAAAATAGCCATCACTGGGATACTACAGAAAAAGCGATGCTTAACGGTTGGACATCAAACCGGGGAGCTTATTAGTTTTATGAACTCTTTTCTCGACTCAAATAGAAATACTCAATTTTTGATATTGTCATCCTGAAATTCATAGTTTTCCCAATACTTAATTTAACAAATTTTCTGAGACCAAATGAAGGGTAGCCGGAACATTAAGGGTTTTGCCCTGATTCAAGCAGCCCGCACCGAGCACCCATGGATCATAATCAATTATATTGTCATAATATGGTCAATAAAATGACAAAATAATCAATTATAATCATTTAAAAATGGATTATAATCCTAACAATTCTTATGCCAATAAAAACGATTATAATCTTAATTCGGTTATTCATGAAATTGACCATCTTTTTTAAGTCATCTCAATTCCCGTTTAGTGAAGTTGCAACTTTTTTAATTCACCGCAGTTGAACACTTCATTTTACTGTTTCTTACCACAACCGCCCCCCAGTTCCAGTTTACCTCTAAGCCCCCCCCCCGTTTAGCCCCCCCCCCCCGCAAAAATAATCGAATTTAGTTCGAAAAAGAAAATGGATTATAATCGATTATAAAGGAAAATAATGGATTATTATTTCAAAATATTGGAGCTTTTTTGCATAGCTAAACCTGCGTTATTTCATAGTTATTTCAGTACGGATTCCGTAGAAAATCAGAACTAAAACTTGAGAAACTTTACTAAGAGTATGAGTTAGTTTAGTAAACCCTATAGTTTGTACGGATCTAAAAATTTAGTGCCGCAGTGGTAGCATATATGTGAACTGAGCTGATGGATGAGGGCTCGGGCCACGTTAGACCCTTGTTTTTCTCATTTATGTTGCTTATTTATCACTGGTCCAGCTCATCTAATAGGGTTTCCCGGGTTGACCAAAATGTGCCACCATAGGTCGCAACATGCATGGTTCCATGGAAACCATGATAAAGTGACGACATAAGTTTATGTTAAAATAACACATTTTCCATGCATGACGCGACCTATGGATCACAATTTTTTTGTAGGGGACTTCAAACTAGACTATTTTGATAATTTTATCAGGGCTGTTACGAAGTGATATGTAACCATGAAGCATCTTCTATGGTGAGCAACGCGAGTCCCGTGCCGATGTCCACGACTGATTTCGCAAAAAAAATTTAAAGTTTCTCCTCACTTTTATTGGTCTTAACAAAAAAAATTCGACCTGATTGGAATTGTTTTTGGAGTTAAGAATTTCGAAAAAACATTACTAAACGTTCAACTGCTGAAATTTAGGCGCAACTAAAACAAGCATGTTTGCGACCAAAAAACTCTATCAAAAAACCTTAAAACCTTACAAGCATTATAAAATCACTTTTGCATACGACTTGATTTATTTTCTCTTGCACAACAAAAAATTTGCTGTTCAATAGGTTCGAATTTTGCTTCAAATAAAATTTTCAGCATCTCAATTGCTATATTGCGAGCATTTTGTTCTTGTTCCAACTTCCGAAGAAAGTGAGAAAAATGTATGCTCAGGCTGTTTTTTTTTATTCAGAGGAATTTTACCAAATTTTTAGCCCTAAGGGGATCGATCTCTTGATCTGAATGTTTCAGGCCGAGTGTTCACACCACTATTGTATCCTGCGATGCGATACAAAAAACCGACCTATCAGAATCAGGAAAACTGGCGATCTAACAGATTTATAGACATACCCTTCAGATTTATAGAAATACATTCTACCTTTGCGCTTTCAACCCTAAGAGAAAGTAAATTTAAAGGGCTTATCAAATAAGACTAATTGAAAGCTGTTAGAATGAGTTAATTTTTTTAAACTTTTAGCGATGATTTTCTACGGATTCAATAGTGAAATAGCTCTGAGAAATCGCAGGTTTATCTATGCAACAAACTCTGAAATATACATGAATCAGCGCGAGAAAATAGCCATCACTGGGATACTACAGAAAAAGCGATGCTTAACGGTTGGACATCAAACCGGGGAGCTTATTAGTTTTATCAACTCTTTTCTCGACTCAAATAGAAATACTCAATTTTTGATATTGTCATCCTGAAATTCATAGTTTTCCCAATACTTAATTTAACAAATTTTCTGAGACCAATTGAAGGGTAGCCGGAACATTAAGGGTTTTGCCCTGATTCAAGCAGCCCGCACCGAGCACCCATGGATCATAATGAATTATATTGTCATAATATGGTCAATAAAATGACAAAATAATCAATTATAATCATTTAAAAATGGATTATAATTCTAACATTTCTTATGCCAATAAAAACGATTATAATCTTAATTCGGTTATTCATGAAATTGACCATCTTTTTTAAGTCATCTCAATTCCCGTTTAGTGAAGTTGCAACTTTTTTAATTCACCGCAGTTGAACACTTCATTTTACTGTTTCTTACCACAACCGCCCCCCAGTTCCAGTTTACCTCTAAGCCCCCCCCCCCCCCCCGTTTAGCCCCCCCCCCCCCGCAAAAATAATCGAATTTAGTTCGAAAAAGAAAATGGATTATAATCGATTATAAAGGAAAATAATGGATTATTATTTCAAAATATTGGAGCTTTTTTGCATAGCTAAACCTGCGTTATTTCATAGTTATTTCAGTACGGATTCCGTAGAAAATCAGAACTAAAACTTGAGAAACTTTACTAAGAGTATGAGTTAGTAAACCCTATAGTTTGTACGGATCTAAAATTTAGTGCCGCAGTGGTAGCATATATGTGAACTGAGCTGATGGATGAGGGCTCGGGCCACGTTAGACCCTTGTTTTTCTCATTTATGTTGCTTATTTATCACTGGTCCAGCTCATCTAATAGGGTTTCCCGGGATAACCAAAATGTGCCACCATAGGTCGCAACATGCATGGTTCCATGGAAACCATGAAAAAGTGACGACATAAGTTTATGTTAAAATAACACA